ACGGGGGCCACGGCAGCCCCTCTGCACTGGCCTGGGTCTGCCCTCCTGGGGCCACTGCCCTTGGACCCGGGACTCCCCCAGGCCCTCCCTGTCCCTGCCCCTCCCCCGCCGGAAGGTCTCACCAGGTGGCGATCTCCTCGGCCGTGTACTCCACGCGGGGAATAGGGTCGCCGCTGTGAAGGGATTGCAGTCGGTCAGGGGCCCTCGGGGGTGGGGGATGGGAAGGGCTGGGCTGATGCCTGGCCAGTTGAGTGGCCTCCACTCTGTGCCTTGTGGGCTTGGCTGTGACTTCGGGACCCAGGGGCAGTGGGGGAGGTGGTGGTGACCAGGACGCCCCTCCCCCCGGCCCCAGCAGGTCTAGGGTGGGCTGTGGGTGGGATGGGGCCTGGGGTGGGATCGGGCAGGGCCGGGCGGCTCTCACTGGCGGTACTGGAACGCTATCTCGGCGATCAGCCTCCGGCGCTGGCGGTACTCCTGGTCTGAGAAGCCCTGGTGGCAGAGGGGCCCCTCAGGAAGTGCCTGGCCCTGCCCACGCCCAGGGGGTGCCCAGGGACCACACCTGCTTGGAGCCGGGCACCCCCCCAGGGTCAGCCCAGGGTCCTGCCCACCACCCCGGCCCCAAGTGCAGGCAACATGGCCGGGGCCCACGGGCCTGGAGGGCACCCGCTCACCGGGTGGTCCAGGTCCAGGTCAGGGTCAAACTTGGTGACCAGGTGGTGGCACTTGTCCAGCTCAGACACTTTCCTTGGGAACCACAGGACTGCACAGCGACAGACGGACGGACGGACAGACAGACGGAAGGAGGGGGCCGTGAGCCTTGGGCCATGGGGAGCATGGCCCTTCCCGACAGCCGGTGGGAGTGGGGGCGGGGAGCAGGGGCTGGGGCTGCGACACAGCTGGGGAACGAGGCCAGAGAGGCAGGGAGCGAGTCCCCGGCCGCACGCCCTGGTCACGTCAGGGTTCCCCTCGGGGAGCCCTGCACCCCCATGTCTCGGGGTCACGGGTTGCTCTCGTGGCCTCACCTTTGCTCTCCCCGGGGCCGCGCCCCTCCTCCGCCAC